AAAAGAAGGGTTGAAGGTTCGTGCAGCCTGAGCGGGAAACTATTTTGGGTTAAAGACAGCAGAGAATGTGGCGTTACTTGTAACTACACCATCTCTTCCCCTATAGTGGATTGTGACAGAATGAGGAACTGGATGTTACTGCGATTTCCAGCAAACGAACGTGTTCCACATGCGATTTTTTGTACGCTACTCTCAAATTTCTACGGAAGGAGCTTAGGATTACCTGGCCCTATCAGGTCCAGCACTAACATCAATTCTGTTTAGGCTTTTGTAGGCAGTGGGAAGCGTTCCTACATGAACACTAATCTCAGGTCTGAGGCATTTTGGAGGAATTGTATTGCTTTAGAAAAGTCTGCCAGCACTGAACAAATATCGATGGGTTGGGAACCTTGTGGTTGGTTGGCTCGGGTAGCATCCACGAGCTCTACTTGCACTTCATTTCTTTGCTGAAACTGGCTGGTGATATGAAAATAAAGAGAACAGCAGGCAGTGTTGGAGATGTTGCAAATTCTATTCTCAGTGCAGGACTTGCGTCTTCTTCAAATTCAAGTGTAGCAATAAAGAGTATCTATCCTTAAGTTGGAAACTCGTAGATGAAAAATTGCTGACACGAAGTTCCTGAAGGATGATGTGTATGCGTTAATTTCCGGTTCAGTGCCAGGCTACTCAGACAGTCACAAACAAAACGCGGCAGATAACCCTTTTAAGTACACATGGAAGATGCTATAAGTCTGGCGTAGCTGGTAGGTGGTGGACATTTCTCTACAATGATTTGCCTTCTCCTGGTTCTGATTGGTACAGCCGTCTCATCACCACTACCAAGGGCCCAGTTTCAGTAAGTGATGTAGTTCTAGTAGTTTTCGTAAGGCAACACCTTCAAAGGCATTGAAAAATGCTCCGATCGAACAATTTAGGGACGATCCGCCTCGGTCTATCTACGCCCTACTGGTGGCAGGTTCGAACGGGTTTAACAACTACAGGCATCAGGTACTGTTTTTGTCAATAAATGGTCTACTGGAGGACTTCTCATACCGAAGTAGTTCTGTAATACTACCTATACTATAAACAAAGCGCTTCATAGGTCGATTCGCTCCTAATAAGTACAATTCCAGGACGGTGCCTACAGCCATTATGAGCCACTTCCTGCTGAATAATTCGCTGATTTCAGGCGGATGTGGCCCACGCATATCATATCCTCATTCAGCATGGAGTTCCAGCCGACAATATCGTCACAATGATGTACGATGACGTGGCCTTTGATCCAAAGTAAGTTCCAAACGATTCTCCGCTAGGGTTTTGTCGAGGGAAATGGCCACGCATAAGGAAATGGCCACGCATAACAGAGGTCCCCAAATGTAGTTATTCAATGCCATTTATTCGAGAGAAAAGATCCCAACTCTTGGCTGGAGTTGGGGGTTTCTTACATAATGGGTTTAGATGGCATGCTTTCCGATTATATGAACTGTTTGTGCTGAAACGCGCTCCAGTAGCAGAGCTTCAGGAACATTTGAGCACTCACACTTCCCCGTACATTGCTGAAACGTTTTCAGGAATCCCAAGCCAGGTGAGCTACATAACTCTGTCGATGGTCCTGACTAC